TACAGTGGTACAGATAGCAACTAGAAACACAGGGAATCCAGGACACGACTCCTTCAGGACCAGTGGTGAGAGGGGCAATGCCTGGAAGGTGAGGGAATGTGAGGTAGAAAGGGGGAACCAATTACAAGAATCTAAGTATTGCCTCCTCCCTGGGGGATGTAGAGCAGAGGAGAGGGCGGAGGGAGACGTTGGACAGTGTAATTTATGACAAAACTATAATAATTTATGAATTATGAAGGGTTCATGAGGGAGGGGAGAAGGGGGAGGGAGGGGAGATGAACAACTGGTATTAAGGGCTAAAGTAGAAGGCAAATGTTTTGAGAATGATGAGGACAACAAATGTACATATGTGCTTGACACAATGGATATATGCATGGATTGTGATAAGAATTGTACGAGACCCCAATAAAATAATAATAACAAAAACACCTCACTTGAATCATGTGCTTAAAATTAGTGGATTTTGTTGCCATGTAAAATATACTTCAATAAAGTTAATGAAAATAATAAAACATCTGAAACAGTAAATATTTAATGAGTTATATTGAGCATTTCTGAAAATGTAACTATAGAAGCAGGTAGTGATTTAGTTTTGATACCATATATACTTAAGTATAAGCCAACCCGAGTATCAGCAGAGGGACCTAATTTTAACCACAAAAACTGCATTAAAAATATATCAGGCATCAAATAATAAAAAATCCTATCATTGTGAATGATGGGGAGTGCAGAGTGGGGACACAAAGCCCATCTGTAGGCAACTGGACATCCTTACAGAAGAGTCGCATGGAGGAAACGAGCCAGTCAGGGTGCAGTGTAGCAACGATGAAACATACAACTTTCCTCTAGTTCTTAAATGCTTCCGCCCCCCTACTATCATGATCCCACTTCTACCTTATAAATCTGGCTAGACCAAAGCATGTACACTGGTACAGATAGGAACTGGAAACACAGGGAATCCAGAACAGATGAACCCTTCGGGACCAGTGGTGAGAGTGGTGATACCAGGAGGGTGGAGAGAGGGTAGGGTAGAAAAGGGGAACAGATCAAGGATCTACATATAACCTCCTCCCTGGGGAATGGACAACAGAAAAGTGGGTGAGCAGAGACATCGGAAAGTGTAAGACATGACAAAATAATATAAATTTATAAATTATCAAGGGTTCATGGGGGTGGAGGGGGAGGAATGAGGAGCTGATACCAAGGGCTTAAGTAGAAAGAAAATGTTTTGAGAATGATGATGGCAACATATGTAACAAATGTGCTTGACACAATGGATGGATATATGGCTTGTGTTAAGAGTTGTAAGAGCCCCCAATAAAATGATTTAAAAATAAATAAATAAATGTGCTGAAAACTCGGCTTATACATGAGTATATACAGTAAATTAATCCTAAACCAAACAAGACAGCAGCCATTTTCCTCTCTTCTGTAATCTGAAAAGAAACACTGCACTGCCATTAGCCCGCCCCCCACTAAAAAAAAAAGTGCCAGCACAGAACAGGAAAATATCAGATGACCCATCCTGCACTAAATAATAATAAAGTAGTTCAACAAATGATGGAAACTTGGGAGGGAAACCACAAGATCGGCTTGAAAAAGCTTAACAGCAATGCATAATAACCTACTATATAACAAACCAAGGTGCTGCAGTAGCATTGTGGGATAAATATTAGGCTATTTAACTATGGTTTAAGCCCACCAGTAGCTGTGAGGAAGAAAGCTAAAGCTACTTATTCCTGTAAAAATTTACAGTCTCAGAAACCCTATATTTGGGCACTGAGTTCCTAACCAAATCAATGGCTGGTTTACATAGCTCCTAAATTCATACAAAAACTTAATGAACTATATAAATAAATGAGAGAGTAGTGACTGGCCAAAAAATAAATGTAGATTCAATGGAGGTGAGTTTGAACAGTAACTATTTTTCAACCTTCATAATAACAATTAACTTTGACAAAAATCAAAGGATACCAAGGTTTATGAGTGAAAGCTTGATTAGAACCAAGATAGTTACATATTTTATACAATGACGAAGCTAAAGACTATCCTTTCAGCAATTATTTTTGTTTAAGGATTTTTTTTTCTGGTTTTTATTTTTATTTTTTAAATACTTTTATTGGGGGCTCTTACATCTCTTATCACAATCCATACATTCTTCCAATGTGTCAAGCAAAATATGCACATATGCCGCCATCATCAGTCTCAAAGCATTCTCTTCCTACTGGAGCCCGATATCAGTTCCCCGTTTCTTCCCCCTCCCTCCCCCACCCGCCTTCCCTCACAAACCCTTGATAAGTTATAGATTATTTTTTCCATATCTTACATAATCTTAAGGATCTTTTCTATATTTCATTATAAAGAAACATATCAGGCACTAATTTAACCAAATATTCAAAAATAACACAGCCAACAACTGGACAAAGCACAGTCATAGTAAACAATCTGATGTGATGCCTCCAGGATTATTTTAGCATGTAAGTTGCATTCTATCAAAAATGCATGACCTAAAATTAATCAAGAAGAAACAAACTCAAAATGTGGGACACTGTATAAAATGCCCAGCTTATAAATTTCAAAAATATCACTATCACAAAAGAAAAATTAAGAAATGACTCAGATTAAAGAAATATGACAATTAAGTTCAATGTGCGGTCTCAAATTGAAATCTGCATGATGGTTAAAAAGGAAATTATTGAAATAACTGAAAAATTGATTACAGACTATATAAATTGGTGGGAAAATTCCATCATATTGTAATTTATTTTTCTACAAAATTTTTGAAGGCCCTTAAATAATCAAACTCACTCTAATCAAGACTCCACAGGACAGAGCAGAATTACCCTGGTGAGTTCCCAAGATTAACTTTTTACAGAAGAAGAAAGCCTTTCTTTCTCCTACTGAACAGCTTTCAAATTACTAACCTTCCTATAGCAGCTACCAGGGCTCCTGTAGGTAAATGTTAAATGTCCTAACATTTTGGTGTTTATTGTTACATAAAATATCTTTGTTCTTGCTGTTAGGTTATACCGAGTCAGTTCCAACCCACGGCAATCTTATGTACAACAGAACAAAATACTGCCCAGTCCCCTCAGGAACAGTAGTGAGAGTAGCAATATCATGAGGGTAGAGGGATGGTGTGTGTGTGTTTGGGGGGGGGGGGGTGTGCAGAAGGGGGACATCATAAGGTTGAATATATATATATATATATACATATATATAGCACTCCCCCGGGGGAACAAATAATAGAAATGTGGGTGAAAGGATACAATGGACACTATAAGACACGAAATAACAATAATAATTGATCAAGGATTCATGAGGGTGGAAGGGTAGGGAAAAAGAGGAGCTGATACCAAGGGCTCAAGTAAAAAGAGAATGTTTTGAAAATGTTGGTGGCAATGTATGTACAGTGTGCTTAATACAACTGAATGATGGACTGTTATAAGATTTTTTTAAGAGGCCCCCCAAAATATACATATATATAATTGTATGTACACACATACACACACTGCCTGGTCCTGTGCCATCTTCACAACTGTTCCCATGAGAAAGAAACCACTGTGGCAGTCACAGTATCAATCCATCTCCGTGAGAGCCTTCCCTCTTTTTTCATAGCCCTTTTGTTTTACCAAGCATGATGTCCTCCAGAACTGGTCTCTCCCTACAACATGTCCCAAGTATGTTTAAGACAAAGTCTAGTCATCCTTGCCACTAAGGACCACTCTGGTCATACTTCTTCCAAGACAAACTGGTTTTTCTTTTTAGCAGTCCACAGTATTTCCAATATTCTTCTCCAGCACAGTAATTCAATTGTATTGAATCATCTCCAGTCTTCTATATTCAATATTCAACTTTCACATGTATGTGTGGCAATGGAAAATGCCATGGCCTGGGTCAGGTGCACCATCTTAGTCTTGACAATAACATCCTTGCTTTACAATAATCTAAGGAGATCTTATTCTATTCAATATTCTAGAGATGTCGTGTCTATCAAATTTACCTAACACAACTTTTTGATCTCTTGACTGCTGCTTCCAAGAGTATAGACTATGAATCCGAACAGGACCAAATCCTCAAAATTTTCAACCTTTTCTCCATTTATCATGATGTTATCTATTATTGGGGTTCAGTTGTGGGGATTGGGGTGTTCTTTACATGACTTATAATCCAGACTGAAGGCTTCATAGCAAGTCCTTCAAGTCCTCTGTATTTCAGCAAGTAAGGTTGTATCATCTGCATACTGCAGGCTTTTAATAAGCCTTTCTCCAATCCTGATACCACATTCTTCTTCATATAGATCAGCTTATTTGATTATTTGCTCAGCATATAAGTTGAGCAAGTATGGTGAAGAGGATACAACCCTGTTGTACACCTCTCTTGATTTTAATCATGCAGTATTTCCCTCTTCCTTTCACACAATTGCTTCTTGATCCATGTAAACGTTTCACATGAGCACAATTAAAGTGTTCTGGGATTCTATTCTTCTCAAGGATATCTATAGTTACAATCCATACAGTCTACTACCTTTGTATAGTGAGTATTTTTAGAGAATACACATTCAGCTATTTAGGGATAAAGCAGCATGATGTCCACAAATTAGTCCCCAATAGTTTAAATCAAAATGTATATATAAAAAGAATGATAACACATATATTGGAAAATAATAATGTCCTTCAAGTATGGGGAAAAAACCAAATTCACTGCCCTTGGTGTAACAAAAAAATATACTCACTGTCAACAAGTTAATGCCAACTCAATGATTCTATAGGATACGGCAGAACTGCTCCTGAGGGTTTCCAAAAGATTAACTCTTCACAAAAGTAGAAAGCCTCATCTTTCTCCTGCAGAACATCAGGTGGCTCCTAACTCTCCAATACTTAACCATTACCGGACTAGCGCTCCAAGTATGGATGTTCTTTATATTATTAAAACTTTTATTATTATTTATATCATTAAACTTTTCAAGTAGGAAGGAAAAAAAAGAAATTTACACTTACTTGTTGCCACATAGCCTAGCTGTGGAACCAAATGCTCATCAGCAGAATTTTCTCGACCTGGTACTAATCTCTGATATTTAGTAGGATGAGGATTTCCATCTACATCTACCAAGAATGGTGGAGGCATAAGATGAGGAGCCTGCTGAGTTTGTTCATCTAAGACATAATTATTAGAATCTCTAATCAGTGGTCGATAATCAGTATGGAAGAACATCTGATCAGGAATCTAGGAGAGCAAAGTATGTAGGTTAGCATTTTTAGAGTTTACATGTTAGAGGAAAAAAAGTATTATATTAAACCATCAATTATGATTTAAAAGAAAAAGATAATCATGTTAGTATGAAAAAAATGTTATTTCTGAAATATTCTTCAAAACTATTTTATATGCTAAAACAAAGTATTGAAAATTACCTTTTCATATGGTTTGTTGCAGCCAAAACCAAATATCATAAGGTGCCCATGTGAATCTGTACAAGCAAAATGCTGTCCATCCTGTGAAAACTTACAGTCAAACACAGCTCCAAATCCTTGTCCTTCAATCTAGGAAATAGAAAAAGAAGTTATAACCAATCCTAAAGTACTCATAATTTCACAATGTAAACATTTATCACATTATAGGTATCCTGATTTAAGATATTCTTAAAGAGGTTTTTTTTTAAACCTGCATTAAATATGTACACTAATTTATATTTTCAGATAATAAAATTTGTTTTAGATATTACTAAGAAAAAAATATTGAAACATTTTCTGAGTATTAATTCTCAAAATGAAAGGTACTATTGATCTAAAAGTGAAGTGTTTATTTTTTGTGACTGAATAGCAACCAACGTCATAAACTGTTGTTTTTATATAGGGTAGAACCTGTGAAAGGCAGAATCTATGTAAGGTAGAAGTCTGTCAAAAAAATTCAGATTTTTCCACTGAAACAAACAACAGAAAAGTGCTAAGAATGCACCCTGTCAATGACTTTTGAGACTGATAAACAAGGTATTCTTATCGAGTTCCAGCTCACACAGAATTGGGTTCAAGAAATTCATGAGGAAATTTCATGATCTTTAAATCCCATTTTTCTGTATTTTTGAAGCCCCCTCATATAAAGTTAATGACATAATAATAAAGTTAACAGTTAAACAGCTAACAATTTAAAAGTTAACATACTAGCTAAGCAACTGACAACAAAACTAGGTATTCATGAAGTAAAATCAAAACTCTGGAGTTTCAAGAGGGCTCAGCTTCAATTTGCTAATAGAATGGACTGCACTGCAGAAGTTGGCAATGCTACAAAGTCTCACAGGTGCATATGCAAATGTGTGCAACCACTACACACCAGTGTCAACACAAGTACTCTAAATACATCATTAAATAGATTTTTTTAACTGTTTCATTATTTTTTAACTGTAAATTACATTATTTTATTGTTGTATGCCATCAAGTTAACTGTAACATGCAGTGATCCCATAAAGGGAAGTGTAGTGCTGCCCCCTAAGTTTTCCTAGACTCAAAAAAAAAACCTCATGGGAGCAGATCGCCAGGTCTTTTCTCATATGAAATCGCTAATGGATTCAACATTTCAGTTAGCAGGTGAAGGCACAACCAGGGCTCCTTAGCATTGTCAATTTATACTTAGATGAGCTGGTCAGCTTTACAAAGTAGAGTTATGCATATGTTTTCTAAAAGTAAATGTTAAGATAAATTTGTTCAGCGTTCGAGAACTGAATCTTCTATCCACTAACTCATTCAAATCCCCAAATACATGATTACACACTGACACTTAACTATGGTTGCCACTATCACTTATTGCATTGATAACTGAAAGGTCAGCTGTACAAGCACACGAGTTGTTCAGAAAAAAGATAAAACTGTCTACTCCCATAAAGATTTATAGCCTCATAAACCCTATATTGACTTACTATGCATTGGAATCAACTGAATAGTAGTGGGTACCAAATAACAAAAATGAATAGTTACTATGATATTTAGAATACTGGTAATATAACATGTATATGAGTTTGTTTACTGTCTTTTAACACTCAAGAAAATTTTTCTTTTCTCTTTCATTGTTAAAAACAAAGATCACAGGGATAATGATGATCTTAAATCAAAAGATCTAAGAACCAGCAACAGATTCACAAATCAGAGAATTCTGAACCATGTAGCTAATGCCTCCACAAATAATTGCCACTTTCACCATAAGGACAGAATTGGATGGCCTTGGATTACCATTATTGGACATTTTGATCAAAAGATTCTACAGAATACTGTTAAAAAGGGGGGAAAGCCGTAAAAAAGAAAACACATTCTCATGGACTTCATTTTCTATAGCATGGAGTTTAAATGAACTCCTAGGGTCATCTTTAACTTAATCAAAAATATCCTCTGAAATCTTCTTAAAACCAAACGTTACAGCTTACCTAGTAAAAACTGCCTGCGATGAAAAAAAAAAAATGCCTGCATTGTGCATGAGATTCTAAGAGCTTTCTAAACTAAATGAAAGTGATAACAGCAACTGGAAATAATAGAGCAGGTTGTATCTGAGATCTCCAAAGCTTGAGAACAGCCATCTAAAAAACAACTATTGGTTTCTTCAGTTTACAGCAAGAATGACAGTAACTAGTGCACAAGCCAATGACCTATGCAAACCACCACCTTTTCTAGACTGAAACCTGTAAGTACTAAACAGTGATCCCACTAGTAACTTATAGTGAACAGGTAGAACAGAAGGAAAATGAACTCAAATTTCTAACACAAAAAACAGACTAATTTAACTGATAAAGAAGCACCCCCAAGACAATTGTCCTAAATACCTTTAAAATTTGGAACTTCAGACACTTTTAGAGGTCATCTTACAAAGAATAATATATTAGCTTATAAAATAAACAGTATCACTCATGAAGAATGTATTTTCTGCTTTACACAATTGATGTATGTATGGACTGTGATAAGAGTTGTATGAGTCCCTAATAAAATGATTTAAAATAAAAAGAAAAAGAATGCAGAAGGGCAGTTACAAAGTGCTCTTCTGTTGAAAATAACACCTATGGAGGGAAGGAAGAACTTCAATATATTCTATCCTCTTTTAAGCCTCAATATCCATCATTTAAGGTATTTGAAAGAGAAATAGTAGCAATTATTAATAAAAAGGGCAAAATAAAAAAAAAGAATGTATTCTCTTCAATAAACAACTATATGAGAACAAATGGGCCACACATTTACCCAAAGCAAATATGAAAATACAAGGTGAGGCAGAGAAGCTAGATAAGTAAAACTACAATAAACGCTTAACAAGGATGGTAACACATTGCAAAAACCATAACCTATGTTCCTGAACAATTCGTACAAAATCTGTTAAATGAGAACCTACTTTTGCTGTGCAATTCTTTACCTCAAACACAATTTTCTGAAACACTTTGAAAATAGTATTAAAATTTTAAGCCGCTACAACCAGCAGTATGTTAGGAACTTCTTATAGAGGTAATGAACGAGAAAAGTACATCAATTATCACTGTGTCTGCACATCACCTATTAAAACCCTTCAAAAGGTTTTTGAGAAAATGAAATAAAGATATTAGACTTCTTTCATGACCTTCTGAAACCCTCTTGTGTACACCAAAACCAAACTTAACTGTGGACTCCTAGAGACACTATAGGACAAGATGGAACTGCCCCTGCAAGTTTCATAGACTATTTGCAGAAGTAGAAAGCATGGTTTTTCTCCCTTAGATAAGACAAAGTATCAAGATTTCAAGAGTATATATATCTTCAATGCCCTTGAGGCAGACATTCCATCACAGCTTTAAAACTATGTAAATGGCATCATACGTGTATCCTCTTGATATTTGCTGTTTTTCTTAATATTTCTACGTTCCAATTGATATACATTTTCGTGTGCTTGCATCCAACTGTGATGAGCCCATATATATCAAGTTACTGGAAGCCCTGTATGCTGAACACCAAATCAACCTCATTAAGGTGATGACAACAAAAAACTAAGGGAGTGAGAAGACCTCTGCAAAATTGACAGAAAAGAAAAACCTGGAAAAGTGGTTGGTTGCAGTTGTGTAGTTAAGAATCTCAAGCCAAGTATGTTATTGAAGAACACTTCTAATGCAAAAAAATGAGCAAATAAAACTTTGCTGATTGTTAAAAAAATGCACTGTTTGTTACTAGATTTCATAATCCAAATAATTATAAACAAATATATGCATGCATAAACAAGGCCTTACTTCTCTTACCACATTAAAGTAATGTTTAATCTTGGTGCCTTTTGTAATATCCCATATAAATATGCTGCCATCATGCCCTGCAGATAACATAATTCTGGAATCAAAGGGATGTGTCTCCAAAACAAATACTTCATCAGCATGTCCCTTGAATCAACAAAGTCATAAAGTTAGTTAGGGTTTTCAACTTATAGATTTTTTTACAAATTAAGATCATAATTACTTCATTAAAACCAAAACCAAGGCAGTTGCCATAAAGTGGATTCTGATTCATGCCAACCCCTTCTACGTCAGTATGAAATTGGGCTCCATAGTTTTCAATGGCTGACTTTTCAGAAGTTGATCACTAACCCCTTTCTTCCAAAGCACCTTAGGATAGACTCAAACCATCAGGCGTTCAGTTAGCAGCCATGAACCAGTCCATCAGGGTTTATAAATATGAAATGATTATAAAACATATACAAACAAATGTACAAATGTTTAGCAATTCAGTAATTCAATTCAAAGAAATATCTTCAATATACTATTTTATTAAAATTAGCTCAAAAACATGATTTGCCATACTTTCTTAAAAGATACTTACCAGTAAGTTATGAAGTAATTGTCCAGTGTAGGAATTCCATGCTTTGAGGACATGATCATTCACAGCTGTAACAACAATGCTATCATCTTGATTCCAAGCTATCATTGTTACTTTAGGTTTTATAAACCTTTCCTCTTCTGAAGATAAATCCCTAACAAAAACAAATACACAATATGTAATTTCATTTAGATGGTAGGCTATACAATGTATAAATCTGTCAACAATACAAACATTATGAAAGAAAATCAATTCCTTCAGGTGCACATTTTACCAACATTAAAGAATTCTTTATATCTGGCCCCCACAAGAGATTATCTACAAGTAAATTTGGCAAAAGGTCACAGGATGAGCAATCACAAGCAGCTAAGGGGAGATTTTAGGTCACTAGTACTACTCATGAAATCAAAGTTTTTCTCCTATTACTTTCCTCACCTGACGTCTAACACTGTTTCTACAACTTATTCAACTGCTTCTTTCACCAAAGAAACATTAGGATAAATAAAATTGTACTCAATAATCAACCAAAAGAGAAAAAGACAGACACACAGTAACAAACATACACATACCAAGTACCTAGAAGATGCAAAGTTAACTATCTTAACTTACCCTGACATTCTGGTAGCCATATCCAATAAAATACTTCTCCATTCTAGCTGCTCAAATCTCCAGATCCGTGCAGTGCCATCTCTGCTACCACTTAAGAACCTTAAAATATTTAAGCAAAAGATCTTATATGTGCAATCAAGACCAACAGTGAAATTCACAAGTAAAAATTTATAGCAGAGGTCAAATGAATCATTAGTGATTCAAAAGTGAAGAAATTGGGTTATCAAGGTGATAACTATCTAGGTTTGCTATCATTTGCCTGCCCTGAGGAAAAAAATATTTCAAATTCAATGAATAGCTTATGAAAGACACTGAATTGAGAAGACAATATACAAAAACCACCTAGCAAAAAAACCTAATTCGGTAATCAAGCGGCCATCAAGCTCAGAAGCAACAAAGCCCACATGGAAGAAGCACACCAGCCTATGCAACCACGAGGTGTCGAAGGGATCAGG